TTTTAAAAAAGTATGTATCCCTATTTTATGTATATAAGTGTTATGCTTGAGTGTATGTATGTGCACCATGTGTCTATTAGAACCTGCGAAGGATTGCCCCGAACTAGAGTTACATAACATTGTGAGCTGCCATGTGGGTGCTGAGAACCAAACCCAGGTCCTCTGCAAGAGCACCTGCTCTTAGACACTGAGCCATCTCTCCAGTTCCCATCCTGAACTCTTATGCATTCTGCTTTTATGTTTCCCAGCAGTTGATAGTAGTATCAATATTTAGAACAGTTTATTACTAATGCATTGTTGTCACACCAACAAACCTCGCAAAACTAAATGGGCTCATGTCAGAAGTTTACAACAAATCAAACAAAAATAACAACAGAAATCTTGTTTCTGTAAGGGAAAGCCTCACCTGGAAAAATAACAAAAAGTGACATCAAAAATTCAACACCATCCAGTTTTGTGCATTTAAACTCATATCTTTTTCTAATATTTTATTTATTATTTTTATTTTATGTGTATGCATGTAGTTGCCTGCATGTAGGTAAGTGCACCAGTGTCGTGCAATGCCTGCAGAGGACAGAAGAGACTGTCTGATCCCCTGGAACTGGAGTTACAGACAGTTGTTAGTTGCCATGTGGGTGCTGGGATTCAAACCCAGGTCTTCTGCAGGAAGTCAGTGTTCTTATCTGCTGAGCCATCTCTCCAGCCCCCTAAACTTAGATCTTTTATGTTTATCACCTATATTAGTTACTTTTCTGCTTCTTTGGTAAAACACAGTGACCAAGGGAACTTACAAAAGAGTTTATTTGAGCTTATGGTTCCAGAGAAATCAGAGTCCATCGTGGTGGAGAGGCATGGTGACCAGAACAGAAAGAGGAGTACTCACATCATCTAGCAGGCACAGAAAGCAGAGTGACTGTAAATCTTGGCCAGGCTTAAGAACTCTCTAGGTTGGTCCCCAGTAACATGCTTCCCCCAGCATGGCCACACTTTCTCAGACCTCCGAAAACAGCACCACCAACTGAGGATAAAATGTACAAATACTCGGAGCCCACAGGGGACATTTCCATTTAAATCACCACATCACCCTATTTAAGTTCTTATAAAATCATGGACAAAGGCATTATTACCATATTCAGAGACACTGCATAATTTGACTGAAATCTTACCACAATCCAACAGTCTATACACAGACCCTGTGTTCATCGCTGGACAAGGTTCCCTGGAAACATGGATGGAACTTTACAGGAGGCAGCACAGAGTACATCAGAATCACAGGTATGAGTTTTTTAAAAAAATCTCAATTTGGGGGGACTGAAGAGCTGGATGGCAGTTAAGGGTACTGGCTGCTCTTGCAGAGTGCCTGGGTTTGATTCTGAGCACCCATGTGGTAGCTAACAACCACCCCAACTCCAGATCCAGGAGGTCCGACACACTTTTTTGACCTCCATGGGTACTGCATGCATGGGTGCACTTACATACATGTAGGCAAAACACTCATACACATAAAATAAAAATAAATTTTAATTTAAAAAATCTCAATTCAGCCATTTACTAGCTGTTTGACTCCAAACAAGAAGCTTAAACCTCCCTCAGACTCAATTTCATCTGTGAAATGAGGAAAGTCTATTAGGGTCAACATTTGATGCTGCCGGACCACAGACAGTTGGTGGAGGAACAAGGAGGAAATGTGTATAAAGTACCTGGCTAGGAGCACTGGTCGCATGTTAAATGCTGAATAACTACGTGAGAGTAACAGTCAGCAGTTGTCTATCTCCCTTTGCAGCCTAGTCCTCAAGGCCCAGGTAGTGTTCTTGATACTCATATTCCTAAGCACCTTTCCTGGTGACTGGCATTTAACAAGCCCAAATAAATATCTGCTGAGGAGAAAGTGCTTCTATTAGGTTCAGGTTGCCATGGTATACCATGGGTCCAATTTGTTAAACTTTGGGTCACAATTCTATGTGAGGCTACAAAACTGAATGCAGGGGTTGCAAAAAGAAAAATGGCAACAATGGCATTTCTCTGAATGGACCCAAACAAAAATTAATTCAAACTCAAACCCACGATGACTCCAAGGTGCTCCTGGCAGCACTTGCCCTTGTGCGCCTGCTTCACAGCAGCCGTGGTTTGGAACACAGAGCAGCACGCTTTGTACTGTGAATGCTGTCGTGCCAGGCAGCACCAACACTGACTGTGATGCCTCAGCAGTCAACTGCATCTTATGAATCGGGTGTTTTCACTGTTCTAAGCAAAATTTTCTGTTCTTCTAGAGGCATAACAGTTTAATTACAGAAAACAAATTTAAAAATTGGAGACTCAACTTTTCCACTACGCTTCTCCAGCATGTAAATAGAAAATCAGTGTATTTTTGAATTATGTTGTTAGAACATTTTATTTCTAAACTGCTGAGTAACCAACCACTTTCTGATTGGATTTAAGGTCCACTCCACAAGATAAAACTTATACCTGGCACTGTCATTCTGGCCAAGAACCTGCAGCTAGACAGGTCATAGGCCCTAAGGGAGAACCCACGACTGGTATCCTACTAAAAGGACATAGTATTAAACTGACCCCTAACGACTTAATGTTATACCTATAGATTAAGTGCCTCTCAGTCCACGTCAGAGAAGCTTCTTTTGGAAGTAGATGGTGATTAACACAGAGACCCACAATTGCTCAAAGTGCAGAAAATAAGAGACTGTGAAATGTTCAGCCATAATGGGTTCTCTATATCAACACTCTCCTCCTCAGGGTCAGGGGTCATTGTGGAAGAAGGGACAGGAAGATTTTAAGAAACAGAGGCAGTGAATGATTACAAGGAAGCAATGTTTTCTGGGTACAACAGGGTGGCTTTTGTGACAGCATACACAAGACCTTTACAAGTTCAAGCTAGACAAAATTCCAGCGTGAAGAGGAGAGGTGAGTATGAAGTCCCACCCGAGCTGTGGAGCTACTGGCAACTGATGGATGCTGGGAGAAGGAAAGACAGGATTTTTAAGGATGTGACTGACCCCTGGTAGACCATGCTTTAGTAGACAGCCATACACCCACGAGTATACAGGCACGACAAATTGGACTTCATGGGTTTAAATGTAAAAGAAAAAAAGAAAAGGACATAAAGTTGGGAGGGTAGAGATGGGAGTATGGATCTGGGAGGAGGTCGGGGAGGGGAGTGACTATGATCAAAACACATGGCATAAAATTATCAAAGAAATAATAAAAATCAGAGAAAGACTGCTATTTAAATTGCTAACTTGAGCTTGATTTTTAAAAATTATAAAACAAACCAGGTGTGAAGGTATAGGCCTTTAATCTCAGCACTCAGGAGCCAGAGGCAAGCAGATCTCTGTGAGATTGAGGCTAGCCTGGTCTACATGGCAATTTCCAGGCCAGCTGGAGCTATACAGGAGAGCCTGTCTCAAAAATAAAAGTAAATAAATATTAAATTAAAAATCATAAAATATTATGGCTTGAGATTAGGACAGTTTTCAGCAGTTTCTGAAATGACCCCAAACACGCTCATGTCCTTTTTTCATGTATTATATTTGTTATTTTCAGCATTGATTTTAAAATAAAAATATCAGTTTTGAAAAGTGCTGAAGACAGTCTATGTCCTTCAGTATCAATGATGCAGTCAAGATTTAATTCTTTATGAAAAAGCAAACAAGCACATCCATCTCAATAGTATGCAAATTGGCTTTCATCATCAATAATATGTTTACCAAAGAATTGTTTCAAAGTAATCTTTTTGTGATTTATTATCAGTAAACTATTTGTATATCTATTTTATATACCTATATAGCTAGGGTTATGAAAATTTTTCTCAGTGGAAAAGAAGTCACAAGTGTAAAAGTTTTAATAAGTCCTGTTCTAGTGTTATAATAAGCTTTTCTTTCGATGCTCCAGCCCAAGCTCTCCCCTGCCCCTTAAGCAAAGCCTATCTTACCCCCACAGAGTCAGGCTGCTAACTTATGAGGCCCAAACCTATAAGTTTTCACTTTCTATGTACTGCCAATGCCTACCATAGACCCACACAGTAGGAGCCTAATAGACATACATGGACTGAATTTATAAGAGTCACATGTGGCACATTTTATGGGTCACCTCACACTTTAACAGAAATGTGCGGCAGCTCTGCTGAGCAGGTTAAAGACATGGGCTCTGGGTTCAAACCCCAGCTTCACCATTAAGTAGCTGTGTAACCTTGGGTAATATATGTGTCTAAGCCCTCAATGCCTCTGTTTCCTCACCTGTAAAATGAGACCAACAATAGTATGGGGTTTTGTATTCATTATTAACTCCTAAAAATCTCATTAATTGGTACCCAACATAATAGGGATTCTCTAAATATAAGCAATTACAAATTTTTGTTTATGATTTTTTTTCTTCCACCACAATGTTCCGAGTAAACATGGCATCTTTATTTCAAATTCCTAAAATTAACTTGCAGCAGAAAGTAAATTGCAATCTCAAGAAACTGACTTCCATAACTATTTGCAAAAAGAAATGTATTTATAGTGACTGTTCTAAAATAAAAACCCCAAATGGTCCCAGATATTCTACAGTGTGAGACTGTTCCAAATCATTTAGACATTCTATAGTATGAGTGTTCCAAATCACTTAGATATTCTGCAGTACATGGCTGTTCCAAATCACTAATGTTGGAACCTTCCCAGAAGCAAATGATAACAGCCATATTGATTGAACAGAACTGTTTGAATAAACACACACACACACACACACACACACACACACACACACGGAGGAGGGGCAGCAATGAAATTAGGTCTCACTCACGTGCTGTTTTCTGCCCATCACACACACCTTTTTGCCCCATTAAGATAAAAACCAAGTCCTTCCCAGGATTCAGTAGAGCAGAATTGGTGATCAGGCCATTCATTGCTTAAAAATTCAAATCACTCTATTTATCCCATGATGTTTCTCTCCTGGAAGGAGGCGGAAAGAAACATGGCAAAGGAGCAGCTGGGGAATTTATGTACCTTTAATACTGTAATGTTCCAAGCAAAGCTCTCAGTTGCCTTGTTGAGTTTTCTTCCCTTCAAGCCTTCCTTTGGCCCCAGATTATGAAGTTCTTCATGGAACTCCATCCCTTTGAAAAGAATGCACATGGGAAATTTTAGTACACATTTCAGAAAAATACACAATTGTATCATGAAAATAGTCTCAGTAAAATATAATTTTACAGCCAGCTGTGGCAGCACATGCCTCTAATCCCAGCACTCAGGAGGCAGAGGCAGGTAGATCTCTGTAAGATGGAAACCAGCCTGGTCTACATAGCAAGTTCAAGGCCAGTTGGTACTACAGGGAAACCCTGTCCCGAAAAGACCCCCAAAAGTGTGTATCTGTGTGTGTGTGTGTGTGTGTGTGTGTGTGTGTGTGTAATTTGATATTCCTATCCTTCATAATTTCTAACCTTTTAAACTGAATTCTCTTTTCCATTGAATTCATTTCACCAAATGGTGTCCATAAAAGGCACTAACAATAACCAATGCCAGCTAAATTTCATTTTAAACAGCCAGGAACAGAGACCTAGATAAAAGCTAGAGAAATTAAGAAGCAAATCCTCCCAATAGGTGTCATTTCCCTAAGTGTCCTCTTCCTGGTTTTCCTGGGGAATGTTGTGAGATGTAGTGATAACCTGATATGAGGATTCATAGCTCCTCCTTCTAAGAACCAGTCTTCTGGCTCAAAAGCAGGCCCTGGAGCCCACACAGGTGATAATAGTAATTAGAAGATATTGACTAAAAAGAAAAGGACTTTGAAAAATAGCATTCTTGGAAACACCCACATGCTTCAGATTTGGGAATGGCCTTTCTGTGTTTTAGCTCTACTGCTCACTCAAGCTTGAATGCCATAAATAACATCACTATCATCTGTGTCTGCAGCCTTTATCTTAGCACCTCGGGGATGAGAATCACATTCTCTTACGGACAGTTTGTTCCATCTTTGAAGGGCAAAAACTGACACTGAGCCAAAATCTCCTTTCCCAGAACTTCTACTCCTCAGTGCTAGCTGGACCCAGGCCAACAAGGTCTAATCTATCTCTTATCTACGGTGCAGCCTTCTCATAAGTCTGAAGAAAAATACTGGATTAAATCATCCTTGGATTCTCTCTTCCTTGCATTAGACATTCTAACACGTTTCTGCTTACTAATGACTCATCTTTGACAATGGCATTCAGGTAGAGTCACCGTACTGCTCAACTTCCTGGATTTGAGCAGTGTGGGCACCTGCATTCAGGACTGGACAGTGTATGCAAAGTTGGCCTCATGTAGCCCATGCTGGGTAGGGACCTGACACCTCTCTCCCTGTTCCAGTAACTGCATCTTTATGACTACTTAAAAACAACACTGACTTTGCAGGTGCTAATATTACAGACATAGCCCATCAGAAAGAACATAGAGCACACACTTACATTCTAGGTCACCCACTCACTAGTTGTATGATCTGAACAACCCTTGAAACTCACTGGGCTTCATTGTCCTGACTGGTGAAACACTGGGACCAAAAGTGTCCATTTAAAGGGGCTGTGGTGAAGATCAACTGGATCAATGCATATAAAGCCTGCAGAGTAGCTCTGGACTGCTGTAAACGTTGGACATTTTTATTCTTGTGTTTCCTGACACTTAAAATGGCTAAGACTCACAATCAGTGAGTAAGGAGCACAGATTTTAAAGCTAGTCTGTGTTCATAGGTCAGCTCTGTCGTGTGTTGACACCAAGACCTTGGATCATTCACTCAGCCTTTCAGATGACCTATCTATAAATCAATCAGATAAAATGCAGAATGTAGAACTGTCATGAGGATAAAGAAGGACAGTGAATGTGCTTGATACATCATATGCATATCGATAAAGCAAATGTCAGTGCTGTCATCTCCCCCTTCTTCATCTTTATTGCATGTGTGGATAGAGGAGGGCATGGATCCAAGAAATAAAGGCTCAGGGATATGGATGAAGAGAAGCATAGACACAGGTGGATACTAACACATATGTGACCTTTCCCATCCTTAAAAAAAGAACAAATCTAAAATGGGAACTAGCAAATAGGGCAAAAACATAGATGATAAATAGGACTGTGGCTCAAACCATAACTACAATGTGGGTTTTAAAGGGCCACATAAAACCACAGCTTCCCTGATAGCAGTGGAAGATTCTGAGGTTCCCAACCACAACAGTAGATTCAAACCCTCATCTCTCATTTCCAGACACCATCCCATGTACATAACGTAGCTATCCACTGCTTCATCACCTAGCTATCTCCTTCACTAAGACATAAGTGCAGCTTAAAGTACAAACAATGCATAAAATATTTTAACTTTAAGTGAAAGAACAGGAACTTTTTGAAGCTGTCAAGACTGGTTTCTAAACAAAGTAGAAAAATAATTACCTGCTTTCTGACACTGAACAATCTTTTCCTGGACTGTGTCTGCCATTTCTATGAGGATCCGGCTCTCTTGAATCATCTGTCACAAAACATCAAAAAGTAGTTGTTAGAAACCCTTAAACTGGCTCATTGGAAAGATAATATACAGAGAAGCTCTCAAAATACATCCAGGAACAAAGAGTCATGTCTTTAACTATGAGAGATGGGAGGGGAAGGGATAATCTCTATCCCAGCTTTCTTCCTAACACTGAGATGAGATTCATTTCTTATGATTGTCCCAGCTGTGTAAGATGCCAGGCACATAGTAGGTGCCCAATAATAATTGTTGGATAAATGAATACAAATTCTCTAAGTCCCAGGCCATATCCACAAATATCTCTGGACTCTACTGCTTTCCCACCAAGGTTACTACAACATCAAAGTGGGTATTGAAACAATAGTGATGAGTGAAAGAACACAGAACCCTCCAGGGATGAACTACAGCCACTGAACACACCAGTGAGGTTGGAAGCTTGGACATGGAAGGTTCAAAGTTGGGGAGTCCTGGTTCTATCCCTTGCAAGCCTATACTGGCAAGGATGAGGAGAAACTGACAGAGATTATAGGGAATAACACTGAATGTCTCTGTCCTCTACATTTCTGTAGAAAGAAAACTGTCCAAGATAATTAATATACTGAACAAAGTATAGACATAAAACAACTGTTCAGTGAATGATGAAAAGAAGAATCTGAATGTAAAGATGATGGATTAGAGGGTAGAGATGATACCATCAGAAAGATGGGGATTCAAACTGTTGGAAAATGCAAGAAATGACTGAAGAAAGACAGCCAATTGTTAAACTGGCAGTTCTTGAATTTCTAGCAGCTCTCCTCCTCTCCATAAATATTAGTTTACCCGGCTCAGTGATTTGAAGGGAAGTAAAGGGAATCCCAAGTAGACTTAATGTATTAAGGAAGTTTTCTCCTGTTCTCACAATAAAAAGATGCTGATGGATATCTTATAGTCTTGTATTATCACTTCTGAATCCAAGAATGATAATGTTTACAAACACATAATAGTAAAGGACAGGAGCCACAAATGTTTAGGGGTAAAGTCATATCATTCATCCATCTGACAAGTGTCGATTGAGCAGCTGTGATAGGCTTAGGGAGTACAATAGAGTGAGATCCAAACACTGATCTGTCTCTCTACCTTCATGGTGCTCATGATCCAGCAGGGAACTTTACTCGAATGAATGAATGGAATTCAATTCAATGACTCATATTCTCTGCTAGAATGAACACTGATTTAGATAACTAAATTAGCTATTTTACATGCTAAACTAGATACCTGTGACAGTTTAGACTGAGTAAAACTGTTGACCTACACTAATACCTTCAGTACCCATGACAGAGTGGTGCCAGTGTGGTGGTGCATGCCAGTAACCATAGCACTGGGAGGCAGCAGCAGGAGGACCACCACAAATTCAAAGCCAACCTGTTCTACCTAGAAATCTCTAGTTTAGTCAGAGCAACATAGTAAGTTTCAGGCAGCTAGGGATAAATAGCAAAAACAAAGAGGAGAGGAAGGAGGAAGAGGACTGGACAGGAAGAAGAAGTAGGGAGGACAAAGGGGCAGGAAGAAGGGGAGGAGCTTGTGAACAGTTTATCACTATGCAACCCTGACTTGCCTGAAACTTGCTTAATAGAACTCACAGAGATCCAATTGTCTTTGCCTCTCAAGTGCTGGAATTAAAGGCATGTGCCATCATGCCAAGCCAGTTAGTGTAACTTTTAAGTAAAAGAAACTTAACAGTGAAATTTCATATGAAACCAATCTGATTTAGTCTTTTTCAACATTTGTACATGCATCAGTTGAATTCTTAGTTTCGAAGTTGTCAGATATCCCAATGATTCAAGTCGTAAGTAAAATGTTTTCCTGGAATTTAGGAAAGAGAAATATACACAAAGGTTGGAGAGATTCTGTGCATTTAGTGTAACCAAAGTATATCACTGCTACAGTGTGGATCTAAATGTCCCCTGGAACCCCTGTGCTAAAGGCTGAGTCCCCAGAAAGCACCTAAGGGCAGGTGAGGGAAGCTCAACTGGCAAAGCAGCAAAGTGTGGTGGGAGATCTTCAGGTCACTGGACTTTGACCTTCAAAGGGACTGTGGGACCAAAGCACTTCTTTTTCCCATTTTTTTTCTTACTGGTCAAGAGGTCATTTGTCTCTGTCAAATGCTCCCATTATTGCCATCTGAGACTCCCACTAGAGACCTGAAAGCAATGTGTCTTCGTGATTGCTTATACACCAGAATCTCTAAAATCATAAGCCAAAATAGACCTTTTCTCTTTATAAGTTGCCCTTAGGCATTTGTTATAGTAATGGAAATGCAACTAACACATTTACTTGTTTAAAAAATATGGATGCTTTTCATTTATTTTTATTTTCTGCATATGAGTTCTTCACATACATGTACGTAGGTGCACCGTGTGCACACATGTATCACATACATGTATGTAGGTGTGCCATGTGCACACAATGCATGAGGAGACAAGAAGAGGGCATTGGATCCCCTGGAACTGGAGTTACAGACAGTTGTTAGCTGCTGCCATGTGGGGGTTAGGAGCCAAACCCAGGTCCTCTGCAAAAACAGTCAGTGCTCTCAACTGCTGAACCATCTCTTCAGTCCCCTCAAATATGGATTTGAAGACTAAAAGAATCTTAGATATCATAACCAACTCCTTTCTTTTTGCAGATAAAAAAAAACCAAGAAAGATTAAAAGTCCTGACAAATGAAATAGAACTAGTTAGTGATGAAGTTGGACTTAGAATCCTAGTTTCATGGCATAAAGCCTCTTTCCATTTTAGAATGTCACTTTTTCATTTTGCCTCTCTTCCTCATGCCCTCATGAGAGTGCACAGGCTTGCACACATAAGCACACGTGAGCACACCTGCCCTAGCCCATAGGTACAAACAAGGCCATATCTGCCCATTGCAACCATGTTCAAATCTATTCTTTGGGGAAAAAAAATCCTTTAAAAGATAACTAATAGTTTTGTTGATAGCATCATGACTGAACTTACATTCATTTGCCTTGTTTTACTCTCTAGCAAGAAGCCTCTATCTATTGATTTGTTGCTGGGTTTTTTGCAGTATTTTACTAAGTATCTTCTCATACTTGTTGTATTCCACTGCCTCTGTAACAAGCTGAGGAGTGTCCTCTTCACCAACTTTAATTCTTCTATCTAGATCATTGAAGCCCTTTCTTCCTGAATGTCTTGGGAACCCTTTCTTAAGGACCCCTTACCTTTTGTTTAGAATTTCTATGTCTCTCTTGTCTCATCATCTCTTAGCTTAAAATTGGCAAATAAAAATACTAATGGAGTATTCTATTAGGCTTTAGTTGACACATCTCTCCTTCCTAACGAAACCAACTAACACTCCTTGCCTTGACTCTATGCAGGACTCACTGTGACGATGGGGTTTAACCCTTGTATCCTCATCAGTTTTCCCCCAGCCAAATCTCTTTCTTTGTTTTCTCCAACTCAGCAGTTAACACATCTCATAATTCTTCCTTTTTGAGTTCCCTGACTCTGGTTCTTTGTTCCTCTCCTATCTCCATACATGTAGGAAGCTATCTGGTTTCAATTCTTTCTCCTCTTCATTAAACTTTCCTCTTGGTATATTTATCTATTCCTAGTGCTATCAAACATTCTGTACCCATTACTATGACATTTCAAAGCCAATCCTGGCCTTCCTCCTAAATTGCAATGACCCACAACTGCCATTTCCAAGGTAAGAAAGTTCATGTACTCTGGTACCTGTGGCAAGAAGTAGGGGTGCAAAACAGAGCTATTTGAGGTATGAGTAAAAACAAGGGTTTTTTGCACACTTATTTTATCTGTAAAAATGAAAAAGATTGATCCTGGTCACCTTGCTAAACAAAAGCCATGTGTTTCCAATTGGGTAGCCAATGCATCATGAGGGAAGAAAGGAATTTCATACTGGAAAATATCTGAAAAGATAGTGCCCCTCAATTATTTCTTCCAGAGTATCTCAACTTACATGTCTATAAAGTAGTAAGTAGTCCCATTTATATTACCTTATTCTAAACAGCATGAACTCCAATAAAGAAAATGAAGATAACAATGCAAGGCCCCCCAAAAATAGTGCCTTACACTACAGTCTCCTTTATTCCTTCTTCGGCCACAGTGTGAGCTGAAAAACAATGACCATCTAATCAGCTGCAGCATAGACAAGCAGACTGCCAGAACACAAAGATAAACTACTCTGGTTTCTACTTCTGATGTGTTTATTATGGATATACTAGTATCCTAGTATGCACAGATAGCATATGAATGGGTAGAGTCTCAAAATCTTTTTAGCGGAAAGCTAAGCATTATCTGTGCCGAGTACTCTTCTTGTCCTTCCCGATCCACTCTCAATCAGGTTCAGACTGGGGAGATTGATTACTGTGGGCAACAACATGCAGGCTCCCCATATTGCAACTTCTCCTGAGATCAGCCAAAGGAATCACCAAGGATTAAGGGTAGAAGGCAGGAGGCCCTGGGTTTACAGAGCTACCCCTACAAATCTTCCTCCTTACTGGACTATGGTTTGAGAACTTTCTCTCTGCAAGTCCACAGCTCCAGGCAGGGGCAGAGTAGAAACGACCGAGTTACAATTATGGCTGCCCCTTACTTCCTGATAATGGCTGCCTCTTACTTCCTTAGGCCTGGGTATCATCACAGCTTTTCACTGTTGCTGAACAATGGGTGCTCACCATCTACTGTTGGTTCCTCCAAGCTTGGCCCATGTTTTTAAAAGCAGTCCCTCTATTAAGTCTTTTAAATATCCTTTTTGAGGGTACTATTTGTTGAAAGTCTGATAAAATGCTTGATCCAAAATCCAACTATTTAGGCCTCCAGATACCTGTAACTGCAGGTCTTTCCAGCTTCCTACTTTGGCCAGAACCCCAGGCCCAAATCTCAACATCCTCTGTGCTATCTGCCACCAAGTCTTGCCATCCTCCTACTTCTCTCCCTTTGCTTCCTCCCTCACTGCAACACTCCCCGCTTAGGTCCTTACCCCACTC